GCCAATCTCTGCTCACTGCAAGCTCTGCCTTCCCCAGAGTTCAAGCGATTCCTCCTTCCTCCTCCTGATGTAGCTGGGGACCTACAGGCTCCTGCTACCACCAACCAACGCTACATTTTGTATTTTTAGTAAAGACGGGGTTTCAACACCCATGTTGGCCAGGATGGTCCGATCTCCTGACCCTGTGATCACCCCGCCCTCCGGCCCTCCCAAACAGTGCCTGGGGATCAAAACAAGCGGTGTGAGCCATTGCACCTGGCTCGTTTTCTTTTTTAAAACAACAAAAGAATTTAAAAATCTTCAAAAACTTCTATGGGCACAACTTTACCGCATTTTAGTGTATCCTTGAGCAACAGGGCCATGCTAATCTTTCTTGCTATTCGGTTCCCATGCTTACGTCATAACTGTGCCTGCTTGAAGCAAGCATGGCCACATTTTTTTTTTTTTTTTATTCTGAGACACAGTCTTGCTCTATCACCCAGGCTGGAGTGCAGTGGTGCAATCTCAGCTCACTGCAACCTCTGCCTCCTGGGTTTAAGGGATTCTCCTGCCTCAGCCTCCCGAGTAGCTGGGATTATGGGTGAGTGCCACCATACCCTGCTAATTTTTGTATTTTTAGTAGAGACGAGGTTTCACCATGTTGGCCAGGCTGGTCTCAAACTCCTGACCTCAAGTGATCCTCCCGCCTCAGCCTCCCAAACTGCTGGGATTACAGGTGTGAGCCACCGTGCCTGGCCCTCAGTCCCAATTCTAGTCTAGGGTTAGTGTTTTGTTTTTTTTTTTTCTATTTGTTTTTTTGAGTCATATCAAATAGATATGAGACCCCTGGAATTCTAAGACATCCTGGATGAACTCCACAAATAACTGATACTAACCTTGAGCCAGAAATAGTTGTACAGTAGCTTTACGATCCTATAATTCAAGGTTATGTTTATTGTTAGCCTGTTTCATCTGCAGTAGCAAAATCTAGTTTCAGTTAAATTGGTTTCCTCAAGCACTAAGTGATGCCTACATTCTAAGGGGACTTACTCTAGCACACACACATCCTGCCTCGGGAGGCACCTGAGCTTTGTCATCTACCCACACAACCATCCTTGAATTATCCTCATGGTCTCTGGGCTGCTTTGCCCCCTCCAAGACAGCAGGGGGCGTTCTCCCGCGTTCTCATCTATAGGGTGCCTTCATGCCTAAGGGTTGTCTGGTCTACTGGTCTGTGTCACCCCTGAGCATACAGGAAATGTTGGGGCAAGGAAAACTCGGAGTTTATCTGAGGCTGTCACCCTTGCTATGTTGTTTTGGAGCTTGCAGGGGTCTGGGGCTCAAGGTGTCATTCTCTAGGAGCTCACACTGCACCTGAACTTGTAATACTTCTTTTTTTTGAGATGGAGTCTCACTCTGTCACCCAGGATGGAGTGCAGTAGTGCAATCTCGGCTCACGGCAAACTCTGCCTCCCAGGTTTAAGTGATCCTTTTGCCTCAGCCCCCTGAGTAGCTGGGATTACAGGTGCCTGCCACCACGCCCGGCTAATTTTTGTATTTTTAGTAGAGATGGGGTTTCACCATATTGGTCAGGCTGGTCTTGAACTCCTGACCTCAGGTGATCAGCCTGCCTCAACCTCCCAAAGTGCTGGGATTACAGGTGTGAGCCACTGCACCTGGCCATGAACTTGTAATGCTGCTTCTTCACCACCTCTTCCGACCCAGGAAGTCTTTATTTGGTTTGAGGTCGGGGAACCCTGTCTCACTCAACATCAGGTATTCTTTTTTTTTTTTTTGAGATGGAGTCTTGCTCTGTCTCCCAGGCTGGAGTGCAGAGGCGTGATCTCAGCTCACTGCAAGCTCCGCCTCCTGGGTTCACGCCATTCTCCTGCCTCAGCCTCCCAAGTAGCTGGGACTACAGGTGCCGCCACCATGCCCGGCTAATTTTTTTTGTATTTTTAGTAGAGACGGGGTTTCTCCGTGTTAACCAGGATGGTCTCGATCTCCTGACCTCGTGATCCACCCACCTCAGCTTCCTAAAGTGCTGGGATTACAGGCGTGAGCCACTGCGCCCGGCTTCTTTTTTTTTTTTTTTTTTTTGAGAAGGAGTTTTGCTCTTGTTGCCCAGGCTAGAGTGCAATGGCGTGATCTCAGCTCACCACAACCTCTGCCTCCTGAGTTCAAGCGATTCTCCTGCCCCACCCTCCCGAGTAGCTGGGCTTATAGGCACCTGCCACCATGCCTGACTAATTATTTGTATTTTCAGCAGAGACAGGGTTTCACCACGTTGGCCAGGCTGGTCTTGAACTCCTGACCTCGTGATCCACCCGCCTTGGCCTCCCACATTGCTGGGATGACAGGTGTGAGCCACCACGCCCAGCCAACATCAGGTATACTTACAAATCTATTTTCTTGTGTTGAGTTCGTTCTGTTTCTCTCTGAAAGGTAGATTTTTGAAATGCAAAAGCATGAAACTAACTTCTTTTTCTCCCAGGTGAACCCTTTCCTGAAGGAAGAAATGGAGAATGGCCCAGATGACTAAATGACGGAACGATCACGTAATCCAAGGATAGGGTAAAATATTGGTTAATATTTTAAAAACGTACCCTATCATGCATATGCGATGTCACTGAATCTTTTCAACAATTTTATGAGAAATAACCTCTATTTTATAGTTTAGGAAACATTCAGAGAGGTTAGGGCTACACAGCTAGAAGCAGAATTTGGCCAGGCGCAGTGGCTCACGCCTGTAATCCCAGATACTGAGGCTGAGGCAGAAGAATTGCCCGAACCCGGGAGGTGGAGGTCACAGTGAGCTGAGATCGTGCCATTGCACTCCAGCCCGGGTGACAGAGCGAGACTGCATCTCAAAAAACAAACAAAACAAAAAATAGAAGCAGAATTTGAATCCATGTCTATCTGATTCTAGGATCCTATCTTTGCCATCTCATCGTACAATACCTATAGGCATTTAAAAGTGTAACTTCGGCCGGGCGCGGTGGCTCATGCCTGTAATCCCAGCACTTTGGGAGGCCGAGACAGGCGGATCATGAGGTCAGGAGATTGAGACCATCCTGGCTAACAC